TTTTTTCCTTTCGTTTTTTCGTTTTACAGATCAAGTACCTGTCCCCTTCGCGGCATCTGGCGTCCAAAACGAGTAATCCCTGTATGCAAGACCCTGCCCCAGCCGAACCAATACATCAGCGATAAAAAAAAGAGAGAGGGGGGAGGGGGAGAGGGGGAGGGGGAGAGGGGGAGGGGGGGAGGACGGGGGAACGTAAGAAAGTAAAACACACATCCTGACAACCGTGGAGCCTCCAAGGTCCTTTTTTTTCCCCTCTTTTTTTTTCAGGCCCTTTGTGCAAGGCCTCCTGGCTGCACCACTGTCGAAATGTGCAAAACGAGAATGAATTTCCGGGTAGAATATGGAAAGATACACGGCGATGATTTTTGTCTCTTGAGCATGTCAAGAGTAGTGCAGCGAGGCCCCAAGTCACATGGTAGCGGCGTAATGGCAGTCGCGCTCAGCCGTCCTCGTACTCGTCACTTTCCAGAAGTGTTCGTCAATCCAAAAAAAAAAAGAAAAAAAAAAGTGCTCGTCATTATGGGCTTCTCTGCACTACTTTCGAAATGTGCAAAACAAGAGTGAATCTTCCGCTAGAATATGGAAAGATGCACCACCATGATTTTGTCTTTCTTTTTTCTGTGCATGTCGAGAGCAGTGCAGCGAGGCCCTATTCCGGCGGTCGTGGCACTGCCGTGCGGCCGAGCGCCTCGCCGGTCGACGACGCTCCCCACTCTTCAGCCGCCCCAGCCTAATCGCCCTAAGGCCTCGCCACACAGGCTGTCGAAATGTGCAAAACATGACATGCATCGACAGACATGCAATGCATAAAAGAAAAAGAAAAACGAACAAATAAATCTGCGCGGGGTATCTTTCCATGTTCTTGCGGACGATTCAGTCGCATTCTGCACAGCGAAGCCCGTTCTTAGAGAGGAGAATCTGGCACGAATTTGAATTGAAACGGAAAAAAAAAAAAAAAAAAATTGTTTGCACGCTATGTGTTTGTAGGCCAATGGACCTGAGGGGAAGCATGGGTGGGGTGGGGGATTGGTACTCTTTGTCCCTAGTGCTAGTATTTTTCCATGTTCTTGCGGAAGATTCACTCTCGTTCTCCACACCCCCCCTTGCACATTTCGCCCACGTGCACAATGCAACGGCTTTGGCACCCTCGACCCTCGACCGCTTCCTCCACCCTCCATATGCTCTTCGCCCACTCCAAAGAGACAAAAGCTCGAAGCTCGACTCCTTCGCCCGGCCAACCTTTGCTCGCACTCTTCCTTCCACAGCTGCACAATGCGCCCACGTGCGCTATGCATTTCCCTCACGCGCACAATGCATGGATCCTCTTCCTCCATACACTCTTCTTCACCCGCTCCAGCCCGCCCGTCGTCGAAAATCAAATCGGATCGAATCGAATCGAAACAAAAGACCTTCTCCACGCGCGCGGTGTCTCTTTATTCTTTACTAAGCTGCATTCCCCACTCTTCGCCCGCCCCAGCCTAACTGTCCTGAGGCCTTGCCACACAGGCTGTCGAAATGTGCAATACGATAATGAACTTCCCGCTAGAACATGGTCAGATGCACCTGCCTCCACTGCTGCTCTCGACGACACGATGCATATGCAATGCATAAAATAAAAGAAAAAGAAAAAAGAAACATGCAATGCATAAACGAAAAGAAAAAAAAAAAAGAACAAACAAAATCTGCGCGGGGTATCTTTCCATGTTCTTGCGGACGATTCACTCTCATTCTGCCCCTTTTACCCAAACGAGAAACGCGGACGTCGACCATGCTGGTTGCCTCAACGACCTTCCCAACTCAACACCGGTCGTTGAGCCTCTGATCTCTGGGACGACCGATAGGCCTACCGGTCGTTTTAATGTTCCCGACCGCACCCTTCCAGCACCCCTGTTCGCGCCCTATAGACCCCGTTTCATGGTCGTCGAGTTTCTCGAAAGGGAAACTTTTCGCTAAACGACAAAAGGCGACATGGTAAAGCGCAACATATGGCTACGAACTGCTGCTCTAGACGACATGCATCGACATGCATAAAAAAAAAGAAAAGAAAAAAATCTTGGCGGGGTATCTTTCCATGTTCTTGCGGACGATTCACTCTCGTTCTGCACAGCGAAGCCGGTTCTTCGAGAGGAGAATCTGGCACGCATTGTTCGTAGGCCAGCGCACCTGAGGGGAGGCA